TGTTTAATATTAGTTGGGTCCATGTATATTAATAATATTCCTTTCACTGCACACATATTACCTGGAACAATTATAGCTATTTTCTTGAAGAACGATTTCAGCAACTCCTTTTTAATCCTAATTTTCAAAGGCAGTCTTTTTCAATATACAGATGCTATAGAGTAGTCATAATTCCTAATTTAGTCAACTATTCCTTAGACACTGCTTGATGTACACAGTGCACTAGCTTTGGGATTTTCATTCAAATTCATTCAACAGGATATCTAATCCCAAATACCTGTAAATAGCTTTGCAGACTAACGAAATGGGTGGTGTTCTTTTGTGTTAGTGTTTTATTTCATATGACAGCTTGATAAATGAGATGTGATCTGTAAAGCAAAGTGACTGGGACAGATGTAGAGCAGCACAGAAGCAGGGAACAACTAGACAACACTGACTGAAAGTGTGATGTTGATGGCTTGGATAGTTCAGGGTTTTCAAGATGCTGCCGAAGACAGAGTTTTCTTCGGGTCCCGATAAAGGAGTAATAGAAGTAGTGTATTCCAATAACTACTAGTTATGTTTTAAACATTGTCCAGGTTTTATATAAAACATCACGATTGCCTGATTTGTACTATCTTAAGCTCTTTTTACGTTCTATTGTGTTCCAGCTACGAGCTAACACACCTCTGTTTGTAATGGTCCATATTGTCTTTCCAGAGAAGCAGTTGCGCAGGCATCTATTAATTCTAAATTTCAGACAACATTGCAATTTGTGTGCTCTAGCTATTTGGCAATGGGTGCCCTGCACTCCTCCCGCCCCCTTTTACATTCTCTTAATTAAGATCTCCTGTATTGTATCTCTATTCCATAGATGACAGCCTCATTTCACTGTGCCTAAGCATTTTGTATCATATGTTCAGTGAACTGGTTTTGAACACCATCTTTAAAAAAACTGCAAATTATATGGTATTTTCCTACTTTCATGCTGTAATTTAGAGTGAAAAAGAGTCAAAGCAAAAGTCAAACTTTTGAATTTCTTGTCATGATTATTTTATGTTGTTTGGCAATTCACAGTTTATTGTTTACATGTCAGGGGAGTGATTCTCTAGCAGTTACTTATCTTGGATCTGGGAATTGAGTGTAGCTTTGTTTTTTTCATATATGTTTTATGTATCAGGGTAGGTACTTAAATTTCAAGTGTCAGTTGTCTACCAGCAAAATGAAAAAAGTGTTGCTCTAGCTTACTAGTATGTTGTGGTTATAAGCAAACTAAAGATGGTATCATGCTTAGATGGTCATAGAACCATTAAGATTGGAAAAGACCTCCAAGATCATCAAGCCCAACCATCAATCCAATACCACCATGCCTACTAAACCATGTCCCTAAGTGGCATGTCTACATGCCTTTTTAAACCCCTCCAGGGATGGTGACTCCACCACCTCTCTGGGCAGCCCATTCCAGTGCTTGACCACTCTTTTGGTAAAGAAATTTTTCCTAATATCCAATCTAAAGCTCCCCTGGCACAACTTGACGCCATTTCTTCTTGTCCTATTGCTTGCTACTTGGGAGAAGAGACCAACACCCACCTTGCTACATCTTCCTTTCAGGGAGTTGTAGAGGGTGACAAGGTCTCCCCTCAGCCTCCTCTTCTCCAGGCCAAACAACCCCAATTCCCTCAGCTGCTCCCCATCAGACTTGTGCTCCAGACCCTTCACCAGCTTCATTGCCCTTCTCTGGACATGCTCCAGTGCCTCAATGTCTTTCTTGTAGTGAGGGCCCCAAAACTGAACACAATATTCGAGGTGTGGCCTCACCAGTGCAGAGTACAGGGGCACGATCACTTCCCTACTCCTGCTGGCCATGCTATTTCTGATACAAGGCAGGATGCCGTTGGCCACCTGGGCACAGTGCTGGCTCATATTCATCCAGCTGTCGACCAACACCCCAGGTCCTTTTCTGCTAGGCAGATCTCCAGCCACTCGTCCTCAAGCCTGTACCTTTGGTTGCATGGGGTTATTGTGACCCCAGTGCAGGACCCGGCACTTGGCCATGTTAAACCTCATACAGTTGACCTCAGCCCATCAATCCAGCCTGTCCAGACCCTCTGCAGAGCCTTGCTACCCTTGAGCAGATCAACACTCCCACCCAACTTGGTTTTGTCTGCAAACTTACTGAGGGTGCACTTGATTCCCTCCTCCAGATCATTGATAAAGATATTAAATGGAACTGGCCCCAAAACTGAGCCCTGGGGAACACCACTTGTTACCAACCACCAGCTGGATTTAACTCCTTTCACCACAACTGTCTGGGCTCGGCCATCCAGGCAGTTTTTTACCCAGCAAAGTGTGTGCCTGTCTAAGCCATGAGCAGCCAGCTTTTCTAGGCGAGTGCTGTGGGAGGAAGTGTCAAAGGCTTTATTAAAATCCAGGTAGTCAACATCCATGGCCTTCCTTCATCCA